TGACACATAACACGTAGTTCGTGTTCAAATATTTTTAATTTTTTGGGTAAATTACAAATTTGGTAACTGAACTTTACTCTCTCTTCTGTTTTACTCACTATTCTTTAAATCTTTTCAATTTCCTCATTAAACTTAATATTTTTGGTTTTTTTGTCACTCAGTCGTTTTCTCACTAACGGTATTATAAATGAGCTGTTATATAGATTCAAAACGATGTCGTTTTGGTGAAAATTTTGTTTTTTTAAAAACGGCATCGTTTTAACGCCGTTAGCTATTTAATCGCGAAGTGATCAAAAAACCCAATGTATTAAGTTCAGTGAGGAAATTGAAAACTTTTAAAGTTGAAGGAGCAAAATAGGAGAGATAATAATTAAGTTTAGTGGTGAAATTTATAATCTACTCTATTTTTTTCTTGTAAGTTTCTTGTAATTTTCTCTCCAAAATTTGATCAAATGTACCTAAATATTGGAGCTCGAATATGAATATAAAGTATTTGATCTTTAAAATTAGGGTATATTAGGTGTTTAGTACCTAAACTATTCATTTTGGTCCGTTTTAATACTTAAACTTTCAATATTTTTCAAAACCATGTCTATCGTTTAGTTTTTGTTTCATTTTAGTATCCGTCGTTAAAAATTTAACGCGTTTAATACCTAAACTATTAGTTTTGGTCCGTTTTAGTACCTAAACTTTTATTTTTTTTCAAAATTGAAGTATGGTTTAGGTACTAAATGTGTTTTGGTACCTAAACTTTCAATTTTTTTCAACACTTAAGTTTTTGCACTAAGAATGAAACAAAAACTAAACTTTAGGTATGATTTTGAAAAAAATTAAAAGTTTATGTATTAAAACGGATCAAAACTGATAGTTTAGGTATTAAATGCGTAGTTTTACCTTTAAAATTATGAAAATAAAAAAGTTAAAAGCGTCTATATAATATGCATGTATCCATATAAGATACTTTAGCATTAACGGGGAAATGTAGCTTAAATAGTAAGACGTTCAATTGTTATTCATTTTAAAATCCTTGAATATAAGAGAGAGCCTTGATAAAAGCATGCATGTATACATGTAGTTATGAACAGCCTTTAATAAAGCAAAACAAGACCCTCTTGGATTGTTAGATGCGTTGATCTTTGAGGGCATTTTTTAGGGAAAAGTTCCATCAAGGGGTCATTTTTGATAGCAAGCCGGTCAGCAAGAAAGAGTTAATTTTGTACAAGATATGATGACATATAATTTGACAGTTAACAGCAATATAAGTTAAAATGCCTATTAACCTCTCTTAAGCTTTATTTAAATGATTAAGATTTCTTTAATCACACATGTTGACAGATTACAAATAATAGTCCAATTTTGTAGAGCAGATCTACAATAACAGTGGTTTTAATGATTTATTGCAATGGGGATGTAGATAGGATGGTAGAGTGTTAACTTAGCATGCGATAGGTACGGGTATCAATTCCCCCCGCAGCTCCTTTCTCGTCTGTTTTTTACTTGCATGATGTAGGATTCCTAATCCTTGGGATTTTCAGGTCAAGTTCTAGTGTGGATCCTCCTACTAAATCTCAAAGTTGCAGCTTTCTTCTTACCTCATTCATATGCGCATTTTTTTTTCAAACTAAAAAATTACTTGCATGAAGAATGGAAGAAAATATTCTCTTCATCAGAATTGGATTTGGTAACCCAGGGATTGTTCTTTACCCAAGTAGGTATATATTGCATTACATCAACATCTGCTGAGTTGGGTGGTGAGGACATCGATGCCTTTTGAGCAAGGCCTCAAGTTCAAGCTTTATGAGAGCTTGTCTCAAAATGAGATCCAGATTCGATCCGGCCATACTTGACTCTACATATTAATTAGTTACTGAGATGCTTCGTTTTGGTATATGGTAAGATTCAAACCAAGATTGTAGCTTGAAAAGCTTAGATGAAAGAGGCTTTTGTGAGGGTATTCATTGACTAGAAACCATTGTGAATCCATTGTTTGCTTCAATCTGCTGTTTCACCATAGGAATATAACACCACAGTTGAGTTCGATTGGGCACCATAAAATATAGCATAATCACGCCTTAATCAATCTAGAACGCCGATGGTGATTGGAACAATCCGAACAGAACCTGACGTGCTAAGAAACACTTCCGGCGATGAACATGTCCGAGCCGGCACAGATTGTAGACTATTTCGGAGAGTAGCAAATGTGACTGAATCCATGGATGTACCGATCTTTTGCCTCGACATTACGACCCTCTCCGAGTATCGAAAAGATGTGCATACATCGGTTAATACCCCCGGAACAGCAGGCCGATCCGGCCACATATGCAGACTGCATCCATTAATGCTTACCAGGGTTACCTGATACATGGAATGAGCTTCTCTTTGAACACATTATTTCACATTATTGACCCTTTTCTTTCTTTCTTTGAAACCTGTATGAAACTGCAAATTGGAGCTCAAATGAATTACAAAACTGTCAGTTTGTGTAGCTGCACCGGAAAATCTCAAGAAATGGTCAATTATTCTTAAATTAATAGAAAAAAATTAAAGTGTTGTTCTGGTCGTCCTATTATACTCAAAATTGAAATTTATTCTCTATAATTTACCATAATTGATCTCTCAATTTTTATAATATCATTAGTCAACCCAAATAATGAACGATATCGAGTTTAAATACCCACTAGATTTTTTCTTTGAGAAAAAAGCTCTTCCAACCCGTCATATTGAAATGGTTCTTTTTTGTTGGAATACTTCTTTTAAAAAATGATAAATTATAAAGGTTGAGCTTTAAACAAATACTATCTTATACTTACCTAGATTAATAAAAAAGGGTAAATTATAAATTTACTCACTGAATTTTACTCTCTTTCTTATTTCATTCACTGTACTTTTAATTTTTCTTTGATTTGCTCACTAAACTTTGACATTGCTCATGTTTTGGTTACCCTGCCGTTAAAGATTATGGTGGCTCAAGGAAAAGGGTGAAAAAAGAAAAAGATGATAGTTGTATATGTGGCAGGTTTATTATTAAAATAATCCACATGAGCACCTCGTTAGTGAGAAAAAATAAAAGTACAATGAATGAAATATGAGAGGGAATAAAGTTCAGTGAGTAAATTTATAACTTATCCTTAAAAAAATCAGTTCAAAATTTTAACCGAAATAATTAAAGGTATTAAGGGTGCGTTTGGTTCACGGAATGTAAGATTACCAGTGAGAATAAAAGATTACCAGGGAATAGGATTACTGGGAATGTTGTATTTTGTGTTTGGTTGGTTTAGCATGAATGTAAGATTGCCGTGTTTGGTTAAAGGAATAAAAGATTATTGGAATGTATATTTGACCAAATTGTCCTTATTATATATTTGTATAATATTACAAATTGTAAAATATTTATATATTTTTTTTAAAAATTAAATTCATAATATTTATATAATTTTTTTACAAAATTAAAAATATAAAAAAGGTTTAATGAAACGGTAAAATTTTTTTAACCCCTGAACTTCATATAAAATTTTAATTATAGATTTTTTTTGTAAATCTAAAATAATTTAAAGATAAATTTGTAATTTAACCTTCGTAGAATTTTTATTATTCAATGACAGAAGAATGATATTTTTGAAAAAAATTAAAAATTTAAGGGCATTTTAGTCCAAAACGCCGGTAATGTTACAATACCTAAGGGAATGGAGGTAATGACATTCCCGGTAATATACCCCAAAAATCTACTATTGGTAATAAAACATTACCGGGAATGAAATTCCCGGCCAACCAAACATGGGAATGTGAGATTCCCATCCCATGGGAATCCCACAATCCTTGAACCAAACACCCCCTAACTATAAAAATAAAGGTACCAAATAATGTAAAATCAAAATATAGAAACTAAATCCCAAATTCCAATAAAATTTGTGCTTTTTAATGATATTTTTTTTGGTAATGAGTAATGACAACGAAGTTCATTAGTTAAACATAGTTGCAAAGATTCTCTGCCCTCACGATAGTGGAAGAGTTTGGTTCAAGTTCATAAGTGATTAATTAGTTTCTTTAAGGACAAAGCAAAAATAAATTATTTGTATTGTATAAATTTGTCTTTTGTTATGATTATTTTATGAATAAATAAATAATTGCAAGATTCGATGCTTTTTTATTTAACTTTGTATTTTTATTTTAGTGATTTAACTTTAATTTTTTTTAATTTCATTAATAAACACTTGAATTTCGTTCGTTTTAATTATTGGTCCCTAAAATTTTAACATCGTTTAAACTTTTTCAATGAACTTATGTATAAAAATGATTTTCTAAACTTTAATGTGAAATCCAAATTTTTAAACTCTCATTTGATCAATCGAAGTACTTTCTTTTAAGGGTAAATTTCATCAGATACCACCGGACTTTAAGCATCGTGTCATTTATATCACCAAACTTTTAATTTTGTCAATTATAGCGCTAAATTTTTATTTTTGTTTCAATTATATCACTTGACCGTTAAATCGTTAACGTTCAGATCAAAACGACATCATTTTGGTGAGCGTCTACGTCGGCAGTCGTTAGTCACGTCATCGTGTCGTTAATGATTTAATGATTCGCTGGTATAATTGAAACGAAAATCAAAGTTAATTGCCATAATTAATAAAATTGAAAGTTTAGTAATATAAACAATGCAATATTTAAAGTTCGGTGGTATATGATATAGTTTATCCTTCTTTTAAATATGAAGGATAGAGAAGTAGGGAAAAAATAAAAACAATACCTTGATTCAAGGCTAATAGACATTAAAGATTGCATACTAGACTACAGTCAAAGATTTGATTTGATTTTAATTTATAAACAATATCTGATCTGTATGTAGCTTCCCGGAAAATACATGAAGATTGGTATTTGTATTCGCATCATCATTTTGTCCATGTGATGACCTTTACTTTACTTTCTCAAAAGCAGCCATTTTTGGTATTAGTGGTTTCTCTGTCTATCAATCACACTATCCATTTTCTTTTGTCTTCATGGCTTCTTCTTCTTCAAGTCAATTGAAATATCAAGTTTTCTTGAGCTTCAGAGGTGAAGACACACGCCTTAACTTCACCAGCCATCTCCTCAAAGCTCTAAAAGACACCGGAATGAATGTCTTCTTCGATGAAGAAAAACTAGAAAAAGGGGAGCAGCTTGCACAAGCACTTTCCCAAGCAATTGCAGCCTCAAATCTCTCAATAGTCATCTTGTCTGTCGACTATGCTTCTTCAAAATCATGCTTAGCCGAACTTTCTGACATCATGGGGCGCAAAAACACTCAACAGCATACTGTTCTGCCCATCTTTTACCATGTTGATCCTTCCCATGTCCGAAACATTTGTGGGAGTTTTAAGGCATCCTTTGAAGAGCATGAATCAAATAGGCCACTTGATGAAGCGAAGCGATGGAAAGCTGCTTTCGTTGAAATCGGCAAATTAAAAGGGTGGCATATACAAGGCGGTAAATTCGATAGGTAACTAGATACACATATGTACATTTCATCTTCTTATTTTTTGACTTGTCTTTCTTTTGACCATCATTTTTTGAAAATTATTTCTCAGATCTGAGACTGAATACATTAAAGATGTAGTTCAGTATATCATAAAAAAGTTGAATAGCAAGTCTAGAAGAGTTTCTGAAGAATTAGTTGGAATAGATGATCAGAAAAAAACAATCTTGCAATTGATCGAGCAAGAAGATAGTCGAATAATAGGACTTTGGGGAATGGGTGGTATAGGTAAGACTACCCTTGCTGAAACTGTCTATAATGAAATCTCTCCAACGTTTCAAGCTCGTTACTTTCTTCAAGATGTTAGAGAGAAAATAGAAAAACAGGGGAAGGAATCTTTACGAAATGAACTTCTTTCCAAACTATTGAACTCGAGAACTTGTGTAGACACCCCCTCCATAGGATCCACTTTAACCCAACAGAGGCTACATAATATAAAAGTAATTGTTGTCCTTGACGATGTTAATGACTCGGACCAAATAGATCTTATGGGTGTTAAACATTTTGGTGATGGAAGTAAAATCATTGTAACATCCAGAGATAGACAAGTGCTTAAGAATGGAGGAGTTGACACAATACATGAGGTAAAGCAGTTAAATGAGAATGACTCTCTTCAACTCTTTTCTACGTTTTCATTTAAGTTGTTGAATCCCGCTCCTAATTTTCAAGATCTATCGAACGAGTTTTTGGAGTACGCCCAAGGCAGCCCACTTGCTCTTAAAGTTCTGGGTTCTAAACTATATACAAAGTCTAGAAAAGAGTGGAAAGTGAGGCGAACAAGCTCAAGGAATATGCACAACCAAAGATCTCAAAGATTTTGATGAGTAGTTTTGATGAGTTGGATGAGTTAGAGAAGAATATATTTCTTGACATAGCGTGTCTCTTCAAAGGGGACTTCAAGGAAGAAGTAGAAGAAGTTTTAAGTTGCTTGTATAAGGGTGCAACGTGTGGAATAAACAATTTGCTAGACAAGTGTCTACTTCATATGGATTCTGATGGGCGGATTTCTATGCATGATATGCTTGAAGAGATGGGGAAGGGCATTGTTCACCGAGAATCTAAGAATCCTAGAAAGTGCAATAGGTTATGGAGTCTCGAAGACATGAGCCAAGTGTTCAAATATAATAAAGTAAGCATTAATCGTATCAATATTCCTTTTTTTATTACATATTTGTGTGATTTTAATTGAAATTTATGTTTGGTATGTTGCTCGTCTAGCTCAGTTGGTAGAGCTCAAGGCTCTTAATCTTGTGGTCGTGGGATCGAGTCCCACGGTGATCAATTCATAATTGGAGGTTTTCCACGAAAGCTACTCTCAACCTGGTGTTGGGGGCAGCCTACTATCCTACCTTCCCCTTACCCCATTACATATGGGAATAGGGTCAGTTAATTTTTTTTACATCTAATGACCAATGCTTTAGGGTATAACTTGGAATCTACTCAAGTTTTACCAAGTCAAATATCTAATGCGTTGCTTATAAAATAGAAAACATTTTTGTATTGTCTAAAAACATTTTTCAGTAATAAAAAGATATGTCTGATTAGTCTAAGCATTTCTTAATATAATTATATTTTTAATGAGTAATTTTAATGAAATGTTCATAATTTATTTTGTAACGAAACTTGATAAATTGTTTCTTATTTCCAGGTGAATAAATCAATTGAAGGAATAAAACTTTTCGTTTATCGAATTGAAGACCTGCTGTTATTATGTTCGGGCTTTGAGAATATGCATAATCTTAGATGTATCATCCTTTATACTTGTCCTTCGTTCTTGTTTCAACAACTTGCCGTAGACAAAGTTGATAGTGTATCTTTTTCTGATGAGCTAAGGTATCTTCGTTGGGAATTTTGTCCCTTGAAATCCTTATCATCAAATTTTAATCCAAAGAATCTTGTTGTGTTGAAACTAAGTGATAGCTACATAGAACAACTTTGGAAGGAAGATCATCAGGTATTTCATATTTTTGTTTTTACTTTTCATATGGTCCAAAATAAGTAGATAATGCAATTATTATATATTTTCAATGTACAGGATCTTGATAATTTAAGGTCAATTGACCTTTCTGATTGCAAGAGACTAAGGAAGATCCCTAATCTATCAGGAGCCATCAACCTTCAAACCCTTTGCTGCAATGGATGTGAAAATTTGGTTGAACTATCTTCTCTCAATCAATTGACATCTCTTCAACGTCTTGACCTTTCTCATTGCAAGAGTCTAAGGAAGATCCCTAATCTATCGGGAGCCGTCAACCTTCAAAGCCTTTGCTGCCATAGGTGTGAAAATTTGATTGAACTACCTTGCGTCAATCAGTTGACATCTCTTCAAAGCCTTGACCTTTCTCATTGCAAGAGTCTAAGGAAGATCCCTAATCTTTCAGGAGTCATCAACCTTCAAAGCCTTTGCTGCTATAGGTGTGAAAATTTGATTGAACTACCTTGCCTCAATCATTTGGTATTTCTTGAAAGCCTTGAACTTTCTCATTGCAAGAGTCTAAGGAAGATCTCTAATCTATCAGGAGCCATCAACCTTCAAAGCATTTTCTTCTGTGGGTGTGAAAATCTGGTTGAACTACCTTGCCTCAATCATTTGGAATCTCTTAAACGCCTTGACCTGTCTTGTTGCAATAATTTAAGGAAGATTCCTAATCTATCCGGAGTTATCAACCTTCAAAGCCTTTGCTTCAATGGGTGTGAAAATTTGGTTGAACTACCATGCCTCAATCATTTGACATCTCTTAAAGAGCTAGAATTGAAGGGATGTCATAATCTCAAGAAGTTTGCTGAGCTCCCAAATCATTTTTCTGAGTTACGTTTAAGATACACTGAAATCGAAGAAGTGCCGGATTCAAATCGACTTCTTATAATGTTGAGAAGAGAGTCAAGGATAGAAAATGTATCAAGCAGTATTTCAAAGTTGGAATCCCTTCGCGTTTTGGATCTTGAGGGTTGCGAAAGGCTTACAACACTCTCAGGGCTTCCACGATATCTGTGGTGCTTGGTTGCAAATAATTGCACATCATTGGAAAAAATATCCTTCACCGATTATAATTCCAATTCATTCCATTCTTTACATGATTGTGATGATACTCCTCGTGATGAAAAGGTTTCCATGTCATTCCTTAATTGCACAAGATTGAATCAAGATTCAATTAAAAACATTGGGACAAATGCGATGCTTCAAATTCAATCCCTAGCACAGAGATGGGCAAGGAGGAAAGGGAGGGGTTCTTTTCCAAATCAATTGTTATGTAGTTTCCCAGGAAATGAAGTTTCAGAAAATGAGTTTGAGAATCGAAGCGTGAGTTCTTGGATAAATTTAAAGATAGCCCCAAATGGGTGTAGCAGGAGCAGATTCTTGACTTTTGCTATCTGCTTTGTGGCTAATCTCTCAGATACATACAGAAATGTTGAATTTATCTGTAAATACCAACTGACAGCCGCCAGTGGCGAAAAGTTCATGAGTGAGTGTCGCGTTTCTAAGAGATGGGACAAGATCTTCAGTTATCATGTGTTCATTGTGTTTAATCAGGATATGATCATAAGAGACAATTATTACGAGGAAGCATCATTTGAGTTCTACATCAGAAATCGTGGCAGAGAAATTAAAGTGAAGGAATGTGGTGTTCATGTATTTTATGTGGATGAAGAGAGTTATAGCATTAGTGATACATCCAACCAGAATTTTGATTCTCAAGAAGAAACAAGGTTTAGCTTTATTGGTGGTGAAGATGGGGATAGAGGGCCTAAAAGATTGAAATATTTTCACTTCTTTTAATCTTTGTGTATGCAGATGCGAGATGGCAATAATGCCATTGTCATCCAAATGCATTGGTAAATTTCCAAATTGAAAACTACTCTTACTTAGTGATTCTAGTTAGAGTAAATTTTTACACTAAGAATTTAATTGCTTATGATAATTGTATTTCTTTGTATAGGAGGCAGTGGTGGTTTTTTAATTCATAGAATCAGTGGTGGACTTGATTCAGCTCCATTGGTTTCATGCCATGGATTGGGCAGTAAGTAAGTAAGTAGAGATTTAGACATCTCCATTTTCCTTCAATGATTTCTTCATCCCTCCATCTATGTTTTCATATATCAATGTCATCATATTTCAGATATTAACAGCTTTGGAGTTACCATCAAAATCGGATGCTCAAAAGCGTTAGACTTGAATGCTTGTTGGAAGAATCGGAGGGATTGCAGCAGAAAGAAAAGTCGAGGGATTCTACTGTAGCGTAAGTCAGCAATATATCACGTGTTTTTAAGATATTGAATGCTCGATGGTCTCCCTACTATACACAAACGTTTTTGCTTCTATGTTGGGTGAACCTGTAGGTGGGAGGCTTGGCCTTGCACTTCATGATTTCGGTCACTATTGCGGTTCGGGCTTCAAACCCAGTATTTAGAGACATGTTAGAGTGATTTCCATCACAATTTTGTCCCACTAGAAGACCTTCACTATGGGATGACACACCAATCACCATTTGCCTGTGAAATTAAAGTTATATTTTCAATGATGAATTATACTCATACCTATTTAATTATCAAAGAATTTAATCTGACTATTGATCTTTTAATTTTATTAATCATAACTATTAATCTTCGGTTTGATCATCCTCGCCCTCATTTACTACTTTACTGGTTGCTGATAGGGTATTTTTATAAGTTTGTATTTGTAACCCTACTGAACGGGTCGTTTGTATTTGCTTATGACTGACTGTTGTGTCTGCTAATTATATGTACATGACGATTTTCAAAAAAATAATAATAATAATAAAATAAAATATCTTTTCAACATACAACTTGATACAATGTTTATATTATCCAGACTCCTCCATATCCATAAGGGTTAGTCTAATTCAAGTATTCTTCCTTCCCTTCTCCTCAGTTGAATTGTTTTCTCTCCCCTCCTCGCCAATTCAAGTATTTTCATCCTCTTCTCCTCGGTTGAAGTATTTTTCTTGAGAACTTCATAAGCCAACTACTCCAAGCTTTGAAAGCCACAGGAATGAAGAAGCTACGAGGAAGATGGCAGCTGAAACTTGACAATGCTCTTATCTTTATAATAATCCCTGGTAATTGAATTCTTATTATACATCCGCTGAATTTAGTTACCAAACCCAACTAATATGGTTTTAGTGGATAAATAATTAACAAATAGATTATTTGCATCACAATTTTGCCCCACTAGAAGGCCTTCACTACTGGTCTACACACCGACCGCCATTTTCCTGTGGAATTAAAGTTACATTTAAAAGGAATGCTAACATCTTACTATTCATCTTTATTTATCGCCGCTATCCCTCTTGGAGTTTCAGCTGCCATCTTCCTCGTGGCTTCTTCATTTTTCTTGTCAATTCAAGTATTCTTCCTTCCCTTCTCCTCAATTGAATTGTTTTCTCTCCCCTCCTCGTCGATTCAAGTATTTTCATCCTCTTCTCCTCAGTTGAAGTATTTTTCTTGAGAACTTCATAAGCAAACTACTCCAAGCTTTGAAAGCCACAGGAATGAATGTCTTCTTTGATGAAGAAAAACTGGAAAAAGGGGAGCAATTTGCAGGACAACTTACCCAAGCAGTTGAAGTCTCAAATCTCTCGATAATAATTTTGTCTGCCGACTATGCTTCTTCGGATGTATACTCTAATACAGACCCGCACCAAGGATAATTGCATTGAGCTAGATTCATCCTCATCTCCCAACTCCTAAGATAGACTTTAGTAGGGATCCTATTGATATGCAACATCCATAGGAAGCTTTGCAACTTGGGAGGGATTTTTAGTTTCCAAATTCTATCCAAGTCAAAAGATGAATCCTCAATTAACTCGAGTCATTTTTTCTCGCCCCATAAGAAGCTTCGTCTATTTTTTCAATCTTTAAGATGATCATTTTCGGAACTTCGAATAAGGACACATAATCCAATGGTAATGTTGATAACATTACATGGACGAGCGTTCCTTTTCCAGCGAAAGACAACGATCGGTTTTTCCAGCATGATAGTTTAAATCTGAATCTCTCAATAACTTAATCCCAAATTTTAATTTTCTTCGAATTTGCGCCTAAAGAGATCTCAATAATTTTAATCTTTCCGTCACAATCTGGATAAGTTGGATCAAATCATCATCCATCCGTCACTAACAAAAGTCTTCCAATACTCGTACACGCATTGTAGACTTTATGACATGTATATTATTTCCCGAAATCGACAAGCTAATCATAGGCAACATTAATAAAATAACTTTTCAATAATCCGTCTTGAGCTCATATCTCTATGATGCACATATGTTGAGGTGTCTCATAAGCTATAGCAAACAATAAATTAATTGATGATAACGATTATAATGCAAGTTCTAAAAAGAAGATTGTTACAATTAAAAATTCAATAATATTATAGATAATTTGTTAATTAATGTATTGAATACACAGAGATACGATGTACAAGGTAATTATCTTACATTTTATGAATGAAATCTCACAAAATTCTTTCTTCTTTTGCGATATTCCTTTCTTTTAGCAAGTTCTGTAAAACTATAATCCAATTGTTTGAACTTTAACTTGATTTCGTATGATTTGAACAAGTTGCGGATACATGGGCTCTCTAGGGGAGCACTTGCAGACTCATTATTTTGGGAAAAAATTTAAATTTAGTTTAATTTGTTAATGGAAATAAGAAAAATAAGGAAATTTGCATACCCAAATTTTTTTAAAAATATAATATTATAATTTTGGACCTCGTTTTTTAATTTCTAGATCCGCCATTGATTTGAACCTTAAATATTAATGTCAATCTAACCTAAAATATTACAGCAAAAATGTCAGAATAATGCAGTATGAGAAAAAAATTTCCCACAATAACGTGTTTTTCCCACAATAATGTGGTTCCAATATTATTTCTCCATCTAAAGTATTTTCTACAGTACACGTCTAAAGATCCCAAGATATCTCGACGCTAAAATTTTGCTGGAACTACTCTGCGTCTTTAGTTAAATTCTTTCTCCCATTACTGCGCATTTTTGGAGATTTTCTCAAAAAAATCACATTTTCCTTAAATATTTACGTGTCAGACACCCTTTGAGATAATATTCTCGATATAACACCCTTTAATTCGTATATTATTTATTTAATTGTTTCAGGTTTTTTTTTGTAAATATTAATAATGTCTCCCTTTCAAACTCTAAGAATGACGCAAATTTCAGCTATTGTTTATTATGATGGAAAATTTTGGGAAGATGAAACTGGCGTTGTTTTCGTATCAAATCATTATGTTAAAATATCCTTCAAGAGAAACATAACTCTTGAGGAGGTGATAATGAAGATTTCAAGGAAGGTTCATGATGGAAGTACTAGAAGAATGTCGTCGCTTCAGTACATATTTCCAACATCATTGTTTCCGTTAACTTATACAGACTTTCATCCAAACGAAACAGATCGCCTTCTATTTTATAACTGTAAAAAAATAATTAAATAAAATACTAAAAAATTAAATAATATAATAATTAAATAAAATACTAACAAAATATTAAATATAATAAAATATACCTTATAAATAAAATTTGAACGAGGTTTGGTTTTTGAGAGGATTTGGTGTGGTGAAAATAGTTGAGAGGGGGTATTTATAGGGTGGAATAGAGGGTGTGAACGGTCAGTTGGTCGGTGGGATAGAAGGTGCATGGGTCGCGCCTTCGTTATTTATTCTTCCCTAACGTGAGCCGCACCTTACCTTACGTGGTGTCACATCAGCGTAAGTCGAGGTGTATGGGTCGCGTCTTTCTGCAAAGGGTGTTAGATCGGGAATATTATCTCAAAGGGTGTATGATACGTAAATATTTAAGGAAGATGATTTTTCAGGAAAATCACCAAAAATCACATTAATCAGAGGAAGAATTTATCTAAAGACTCCGAGTAATCCCATGATTATGCAATGTAAAATTTTTAGAATGAAGACGTCAAGATATCTTGGGATTTTTAGACGTACTGTAAAAATATCTTATTTGAGGAAATAATGTTAGAACCAGTGAAATTTTTTTTACCATACTGCATTATTATGACATTTTTGCCAAAATATTACAAGTTGTTTTCTGATTAGATCACATATAATTTTGTATAATAAAAAAGAATTGTGTACTTAACCATGGAATTGTTCTTTATTATTTTTCTTTCTTTTGATTTTTTTTCCATGGATTTACATGTAGAAATATTATAAAAAATGAGGCGTAGTTTACTATGTAAACTTGACAATGATCTTATCTTTATAAAAACCTTTATTGGTAGAATTAAATGCAGAGATGTTATAAAAAATGAGGCGTAGTTTACCAAGTAAACTTGACAAAGCTCTTATCTTTATAATAATACCAAGTAATTTTCATCCACTGAATTTAGTTACCAAACCCAACTAGCGAATAAACAATTAGCAAATAGATTATTCACTTCACAATGGCCCGCGAGAAAGACTTTGATTATGGGGTTAAGGATCCATCTATAATTTTATGTTATAAATTTTTAGAGATACGAGTTTATAAAATTTTAGAAATCAATGCAATTAGAAAAAATTATTTGAATAGGGTTCTCTCGAAATTATTTCGCGAAATAGAAATAAACTCAAAGATGTTTTACTCTTATTTTGATCACTCTACAATAACATGAATTGTTTTACTCCTATTTTGATCACTCATCGACCATTGTTCAAGTTGTTATATAGAAGTCAATTTAATCCATCAGTTTTAACATTGAATTTGTGTATTAAAGAAATCAACATAATACTCACATAATTTTAATTGAAATTGGGTTTAGGTGGGAGTTAATGATTATACTGCTCCAAGAAGTGTAAACCGGAATCTAGTAAAGTATGTGGCATTGTCATGTGGTAAAGAAATATGAACATTTTAAAACAACTTAAATTTTTTAGTATCTCATCGCTCCTCCTAAGTCCATCTCTGAAACTGATCACCATTTGCTTAAAGTTGTATTCTTGAACCCCTCTTCGAGTTTCAAGGGAGTGCTAACAGCTTACAATTCACATTCACTCTATTCGAGGTTCAGCTGCCATCTTCCTCATGGCTTCTTCATTTAACTGCTCTTCTTCTCAATTGAAGTGTTTTCATCCCCTTCTCGTCAGTTGAAGTGTTTTCTCTCCCCTTCTAGTCAATTGAAGTATTCTTCATCCTTTTCTCGTCAACTGAAGTATTTTTTCTCCCCGTCTCATCAATTAAAGTATTTTTCATCCTCTTCTCGCCAATTAAAGTATTTTTCATCCCCTTCTTGTCAATTGAAGGGAACTTCCTCCCCTTCTCGTAAATTAAAGTATCAAGTTTTCTTGAGCTTCAGAGGTGAAACACGCCGTAACTTCACCAGCCAACTACTCCAAGCTTTGAAAGCCACCGGAATGAATGTATTCTTCGATGAAGAAAAATTGGAAAAAGGGGAGCAATTTGCGGGACAACTTACCCAAGCAATTGAAGTCTCAAATCTCTCGATAATCATTTTGTCTGCCGACTATGCTTCTTCGGATGTATGCTTAGCCGAACTCTCCCACATCATGGCCCTCACGCGCAATCAAGGGCATATTGTTCTTCCCATCTTCTTCCATGTTGATCCCTCCGATGTGAAAAATCTACGTGGTAGTTTCAAAAAAACCTTTGATAATCATGAATCAAACGAAAAACTTGATCAAGTGAAAGTGAAGCAATGGAAAGCTGACCTGGCTCAAGTCGGAACATTAGATGGAATTCATATAAAATGCGACAAGTAACTATATATTTTTCTGCTCTTCTTATATTTGACTTAACTTTGTTTTCGATTTGATATAGATATATTTTTGTTTTGATTATTTGCAAGACCTGAAGCCGAGCACATCAAGCATATTGTTGGATATGCTATACAAAAGTTGATGAAGCATCAAGTTTTCTTGAGCTTTGGTGACGACACGCGCCTCAACTTCAGCAGTCATCTTCTCAAAGCTTTGGAAGACACGGGAATAAATGTCGTCTCCGATAAGGCGGAGATTGAAATCTCTCAGGCAGTTGCAGCCTCAAATCTCTCAATAATCGTTTTATCTAAAGACTATGCTTCTTCGGAATCATGCTTAACCCAACTCTCTGCCATCATGAGCACTGAAAAACATATTGTTCTGCCCATCTTTTACCACGTTAAACCTTCTGATGTGGAGAATCTCAGTGTGAGTTTCAAAGCTTCCTTTGATCACCATGAATCAAATGGGCTACTGCAAGTGCAACAGTGGAAAAAGGACTTCGCTGAAGTTGGTATATTACAAGGGTGGCCTATAGAAGGAGGCTATTTTGATAGGTAACCATATATTTCATCTTCTTATGCTTGATTTGTTTTTGTTTTGACAATCATTTTTACTAATATTTTTCAGACCTGATACTGAATTCATTGAAGAAGTCGTTCAATATGTCATAAAAAAGTTGAACCGCCAGTCTAAAAGCGTTTCTGATGATTTGGTTGGAATAGATGATCAGAAAGAAACGATTTTGAGGCTGATTGAACAAGAAGACAGTCGTGTAATAGGACTTTGGGGGATGGGTGGTATTGGCAAAACCACCCTTGCTGATGCTGTATACCATGAAATCTCCTCAGAGTTTGAACTCATTGCTTTCTTCAAAATGTTAGAGAGGAAATTGAAGACAAAAGAATGAATTCTGTAAGAAATGAACTTCTCTCCAAACTATTAGCCGATAAAATTGATATAAAACCCCCTCCATAGGATACCTTTACCGACAGAGGCTGAAGAGTAAAAAGGTGTTTGTGGTCCTCGATGATGTTAATGACTCGAACCAAATAGATTTTATGGGTGTTAAACATTTTGGTGATGGAAGTAAAATCATCATAACATCCAGAGATAAACAAGTGTTGAAGAATGGAGGAGCTGACACAATACATGAAGTGAAGATTCTAAATGAGAAGGACTCTCTTCAACTCTTTTCTACATTTGCATTTAAGCTTTTGAATCCTCCTCCTGATTTTCGAGATCTATCGAACAAGTTTTTGCGGTACTCCCAAGGCAATCCACTTGCTCTTAAAGTTTTGGGTTCTAATCTTCGCACAAAGTCTAAAGAAGAGTGGGAAAGTGAGGTGGACAAGCTCAAGGAATGTGCGGAACCAAAATTTGAACATATTTTCAAGAGTAGCTTTGATGGGTTGGACGAGATAAGTAAGAATATATTTCTTGGCGTAGCATGTTTCTTGAAAGGGAATCTCAAGGAAGATGTAGAAGAAATTATAAATTGCTTATATAAGGGTGCAGCGAGTGGAATAAGCAAATTGCTCGACAAGTCTCTACTTCATACTACTGATTCTTCTAGAGAAATTTCTATGCATGATATGCTTGAAGATCTCGGTAAGGACATTGCTCGACAAGGATCTAATGACCCGGGAAAGTACAGAAGGTTGTGGAGATCCAAAGACGTGAATCAAGTGCTCAAATATAATAAAGTAAGTGCTAATTGTATTTATTTCTTTTTATTTTAGATATATTTGTGTGGTTTTAATTATAATTTATACTTGATATATCAATATATAAATTCATTTAATTATATGTTGCTATATGTTAAAGTGTATCAAATATTAACCCTTCAAATTATAATGAATAATTTGATGGAATGCCCATAAATTTCCCTACACCTGTACTTGATAAACTGTTTCTTGTTATTAGGGAAATGAATCAATTGAAGGAATAGAGTTAAACATGTCTCTAATGGAAGATCCGATTTTATTATGTCGTCATGGTTTTGAGAACATGTTTAATCTTAGATATCTCGGCGTCCGGGCTATGAAATTATCGAAGAATGAGAAGCTACACTTAGATAAAGTTGATAGTGTATCTCTTCCTGATCAGCTAAGGTATCTTCGTTGGAATGATTATCCCTTCAGATCCTTATCTCCAAGTTTTAATCCAAAGAATCTTGTTGTGTTGAAATTACATTTTGGTCAGATAGAACAACTTTGGAATGAAGATCATCAGGTATTTTAGATTTTTTTTTTCTATTTATTTTTGATACGGTCCAAAATAAGTAGACAGTGATATGAGGTACTGTAATTATTTTATATTTTCATTGTACAGGATCTCCTTAATTTAAGGGTGATTAAACTTTTTTATTGCGATAAACTAAGGAGGATTCCTAATCTATCGGGAGCCATCAACCTTGAAAGCCTTATATGTTCACGGTGTAAAAGTTTGGTTGAACTTCCTAGCCTCAATCATTTGACATCTCTTAAAAAGCTTGAATTTGACGGATGTCCGGCACTCAAGAAGTTCCCTGAACTCCCAAATAACATTTCTGAGTTAGACTTGTCAAACACTAGTATAGAAGAAGTGCCTGATTCAATTCGGCATCTTGTCGGGCTTAGAAAGTTGCGGTTGAGAAACTCAAGGGTGGAGAGTGTATCAAGCAATATTTCGAAGTTGGAATCCCTTCACGTTTTGGATCTTGCTGGTTGCACAAGCCTTGAAACACTCTCGAAGCTTCCACGATATCTGCGGTACTTGGATGCAGATGAGTGCACATCATTAGAAACAGTATCGTTCACCGATCATTGTTTCAATTCATTCCATTCTTTACATGATGGTGGTGATGAAGTTCGTAATGGAGAAAAAGTTTCCATGTTATTCAGGAATTGCTTAACCTTGAACCAAGATTCAATTAAAAACATTGTGGCAAATGCTATGCTTCAAATTCAGTCCCTAGCATCGAGATGGGCGAGGAGGAAAGGGATACTCCGAGAGGAGTATAATAGTTATTTTTATCGAAGTCATTTGTTTTGCCGTTTCCCAGGAAATGAAGTTCCAGAAAATGTGTTTTGCTATGGAAGCATGAATTCTTGGTTAAATTTGAAGATAACCCCAAACAGGTCTAGTGGGAGCAGATTCTTGGCTTTTGCTATCTGCCTTGTGGCTGATTTCACACGTGCATATGGCGGTCTTAAAGTTACCTGTAAATACCAACTGAAAGCCGCCGGTGGCGAAAAGTTAACAAGTGTGTGCTGCATTTTTTATATTCCGGAAGCGTTCTACAAGTGTGATCATGTGCTTGTTCTGTTTAGTGAGAACATGATAATAATAGACAATGATTATGAGGACGCATCATTTGAATTCAAAATCGAGAATCTTTACCCCAGAGGAGAAATTAAAGTGGAGGAATGTGGTGTTCATGTGTTTTACGTGGATGCGGAGAGTTATACCATTTATGATGTGATGAGATGTGAAAAATCCGACCAGAATTTTGATTCTGCAACAAAAATGAGACCCGAGGATGATGGTGAAGAAGGGGATGGAGGGCCTAAAATATTGAGATATGTTCACTTATTTTATTAATCTTTGTGATACTTTTGAGATTTGTCAAAGAGTTCAGGGTTGAATTTCTTTCTACAAAATATAGTTTGTGATGGTTGCTTGTTAAAGAGTGAGGAATCATTTCTATTTAATTTTCAAGGGAATAAGAACTTTGAACTCAGGAGTTGGTTTGTATATAGAGCATTTGGAGTTGATGTTTTCTTTTCTTGGATTTTGATCATCATATCAGTTTCTTTGTGTGTTACTGTCTCTTACGTTGTTTGAGCATTATTGAAAACTCCAATCGAGTTTCATTTTCTTTTCCATATTAGCGTATCAGAGAGATCTGAAGACATGAGCCAAGTGGATTGGGGAAACTGTTACATCCCAACTTCACTTCAGTCGAGCATGTCCCCTCCTCACATCAATCCTAAACTTTTATTACATAATCTGTCATCTCATTGTTCATTGTTTGAATGATGTAATTAGCTTCTGCCTTAAAACAGGATTTCGGGTTGGCAGAATTCAAATGGAATCTGATAGTGCTAAGGAAACGCTTCCGGTGACCGAGCCACCAAATGTCAGCACGAACCGTCGGCTATTTCACAGAGTAGTAAATGTGACTGAATCCATGAAGGTACAGGCCAATTTGACCACGGATGCAGACTGTATCCATTGGTGCTTATCAGGGTTGCCTGATACATGGAATAAGCCCCTTTTACACGTTCTTTAGCCTTTTCTAAAACTTTGATGAAACTGCAAATTGGAATTGTTTGGGAATTACAAAAGTGCCCTTGAGCCTGTGCAACAGTATGGGAACAAGACAGTATGGTATTCTCACTTATTACTTAATTAATCAGAATTTTTGGTCAAAACAATTGCTTTGATCCCTCTATAATGGTCAAATTTAAAATTTAATCCTTATTATTTTTTATACTTTGGTCATTCTACTTTTATGATATCACAAATTAATCCAAATGCTAACGATATTAAGGTTAAAATGCTCAGTTTTTGTTAAAAGACTAAAATTTTTCAACTCATCATGCTGACAGATTTTGATTTATGTTGGAATACTTGTTTTAAGATCAATTCAGGTCAGTATCGTAATTGTAAAAATAACAATATTAATTATTTTGAATAACTAATAACATTATAAAATAAAAAATATCATAAAATTAAAATACACAAGCCTTCTTCTGTTCACTCAGGAAGACAACAGAAGCCGATTTATCTCTTCAATTGCATTTATGTGAGTGCCTGGTAACAACAAACATAACAAAGGGACCCGAGACGAAGAGATGTCCATGTGATTAATTCTGTCCACCGTTGTCTTCACCGTAGCCGGGGCTGCTACACCAAACCATTGAAGATACCAAGACAAAATTGTAGAACTTTTCACTCCTCTGGATCTATCATCAGGCCAACTACCAGAGTTCAAATAATTACGCAAATCGTTCTGTAACGCCTCTGAACAATTCAGGAGTTCTTCAACTCGTTTCCGAAGAGATCCTAGAAACACAGATTGAACAATGCTGCCATTTGAAGTGGTCAACCTTCCAGTCAAGACAGCCTCATTATAGGACAGTGCAAGCTACAAAACATAAGGATATGGCATATGTTACAGATTCGGGTATGTGCCTGACAGGCCGATATGGGTAATGTTCAAATATTTGAAGTTTTTCCATGTAACTTTAGGGAACTTCAAGTAAAATGACATGGAGTTGCATAAAGTTGCAGAAAAGTACCTTCAAACTAGAGAGAGATAATGAGTCGCCAACAAGAAGATCACTGCTGGAGACCTGCTCTGCCAATGTGCCAATGGTGGTGTACAAGGATAAATAGACCTAAAAAGCAGAGAGAGGCGTTAACAAAGATTATTATAAAGACATTCACATATTGAGAAATAGACGACATGAATACGGAATACGGGAAGAATCATATACACGTCTAGGAAACTTGATCTGATCAACCGACTATCAGTATGCCAACAAATTAGCTTATTTCCAGTTGACATTGCAATGTAATTGACCAAAATCCTATACAGAAGAAGAAGAATTTACGACTAAATCAGACTATTACCTGCAGAAGAGCTGGTCTATCCTTGCTTATACACTCAAATAATACTTGCAAGCAAAACTCCTGGAAGTCAACATCAGATCTGCAAGCACGTTGATTTGGGAAATAGATTATGACAATATGCACCTTTAATTCATTCAATACGTTCTATAATTTACAATTGTCACCAACAATAAGGAGAGATTTCTTTAACTTACTTGCTATTCCAGGAAAGGTCACAGAAGAGTTGTGCAAAAACAATTAACTTGGATCAGAAGAGAAAGTGCTGACAAGTTGATCAACAGTAACAGCAGTAGGTCCATCATTGCCTGCTCTTAGACTTGTCGAACCAAAGACCTAAATGACAAGATAAATCAACTTCCATGATAAGGAAACTATAACAGGGGAAGAAGGCCACGTTAAAGTAAAGTTCTGCAAACAAACCTTGTGCATTGCTCGTGAAAGCAGTGACTGACACCCTATGGGATCATCCACATATGAACACAATCCAACCTTCCGTTTGACATGGAGAATACCAGAGTGAAATGGGTCATTCCTGTCACCCAAACTCCACCAAGGCTCATCTGTAGAGGGGAAATTATCAGAAATATGCATATTAACATATGGCAAGAAAAATTGCAGCAACAAACTCCACATACTTTCGGGAACAAGCTCAATCACTTGAGGCCAGTATCGAGGGCCACAAACACGAACTGTCTTCAACTGCAACAACATGGCATGTAAAGCATTAAAGGCAAGAAATTTTGATAATAGATGAATTAGCAGACAGGTAGTTTATGCTACAGTAGCAACAGAAAGTTTAAACGTTATTTCAAAGCTCAAAGTGTTACTCAAAAGCAAGCAGATTCATGCAAATTAACCTCCAAAGCTATTCCATGAAAATTAAGGTCTGAAATAATGAAAATCCTTCGAAATCTGTTAACAGATCTTGAACTTACAATAGAACGCTCGGGCAGAATGCAAGGAGTAATCTCACAAAAACTTGTTTCAGAATAATGCTCAGTTTCCCTGATTGTGACTTCAAGAGGAGCATAAACGGGGAGGCCAGTGTCGACATCAATAGTTTGAAGCCAGCGAGCCTCCGTTGCAAGGACATACAAATGTCTGAATGCCTGGAAAATGCAGTATCTTATAGAGAAGTGGTAAAAGTAGAACATATGTGCCAATTTGGAAAAATGAAAAAGAATTCAAGTTCTTCAAGAAAATATAACCCACCAGACTTTACCGTCAAAAATCAATAGTAAAATACTGTTCATATTGCTTGTAATGAACCATGTACTATTTCCACCCGATCAATTTTAAGCTACCCAAAAAACACCTTAAAACTCAAATCTTAACATACCTGAAGGTGGCAACGGTTGTCATTGGGTCCTGTAGGCAACTGTGGATAGAGAGTGATAAGCAATGCTGCAATGGAACTGTTGCTGGTAGAAAATGTCCTCGTTCCTCCACCAAGAAACAAGAAACCAATTGCTAAGCTCACCTAAAACCAGAGTATGCGAATAAATTAAGATGCCCTAGAAATAAGCAAATTGTTTGAATGCATGTTATAGCCAGACTGTCCATTTAAATTAATGCAAAAGAACATGATATATGTTGTCTCTGGGAAGCTACACTGACTTGTGACCAAGAAGCCATACATTCTTACGCATTTAGCATTGTTTTCTGATGAAAGCTTGGGAGATGTTCTTAATGTTCCATGAAGAAATGGAAGAAGAGTCATTGAACTCTCAATGCTCAAAGGGTTTATAAGACCTCCGCATAGATTCAACAAGCGGACATTTGGCAAGGCAATGCAGGGGATATGCAAGGCATGATATATATGATGATAAACAGCATATGATTTTCTTTTGCAGAAGGTGAATTATAGAATCCATGTTCATAAATCAATATATCTTTATCTTATAGATTCTCATCATAAAAATTGCAATTTCCATATAATTTGAGAGTTCATGACAAGCATGAGATCATAAAAACAGGCATATAATGAATTATATCCTAGATCAGCAGGGGGGAAAAACATAATAAGCACTTAATATAGTTCAATTGGATCCATCAGTAAGGAATGTGTAGAAACATTACCACTATCTGGATACCATAGTTGGCATGACCATCTACAAGCTTCGGTTGCGGAGAAACCTTAGAAGCCGGAAGGTCTGTAAATGTCCAGAACCAGCCATAACCTGCTTCCAAAAGGGCTCAGAAGTCACCCACTATTACTTGGCATAAATAGGCAAAATAACAAAAATAAGAATAGGAATCAAATTATCAAGTTCATTTACCACAGACAAGGATAGAACAATAAGATGAAGGCACATCTCCAATGTGCCTCGGTCAACATACTGAGATAAACCCTTGGGGAAGGTATTCCTATTTGTAGTGGAAACAAGCTTGATCTGCTGCCATTAAAATTACTTAGTTATCTACCAAAAACGAATTGTACTTGTTGAGAAGTAGCATATCATATGTAAGACCTCATTCAGGAAGTAGACAGCATATTCATAAAGCAACTCCTGTGCATTTCCATCCTTTGTGCCAGCAAATCTCAACCCTGCCAACAATTAATCATAACAGACTTAAGATACACTCTCTTTCTAGGGGCGTCCACGACCACATGAATAAGAGAATATGCAAGACTAAATGTGGTAAATAGCATATGAATCAGCAGGAATACCATACCAAGAGAAATACATGCCCCGGCTACTATATTGACATATGCCTGTACAGTAGTTTCTGCATCCATTTCATCAATATCCATAGTATCATCTCCAAGGCTATTGACGCCATTTTCTACAATTTCAGGAATCTGGGACTGAATCCAGTCTTTAGAGGGATGAATCCTGAGACGATAATCCTAAACTCAGATCTAAAAACTAGAAGATTAGACAGTGTGTGATTCAATAATTGAGACATTTATTAAATTACCTGCCCCACATGATCAAATTCCGAGCAATGACACGAAGCATTATAAAATCAGGTCTTACGTATTGCAAATCGAAATGTGTTTGGGGGATTGTGAGCCTAGAGACAATCACCTCTGATTCACTCTGGCATAAAAAATGAGAAGGGTGAATATCTGATTTACATCATATACATGATGATCTGCTCACATTTGTCTATGTTAAATATTACCTTCAAAAACATTAGAGCAAGAGCTATCATAGCCCCAGGTGCAGTGACATCAACATTGACAGAGGTCCCATCCATCATCTAGCACGCCAAAATAACAGTATCAGCAACCTTCAGATATTTTAATTTTCAAAATAAATAGGGAGCTTAATTAAGTCAATGAGAGGTAAAAAAAACCTGCCCAGTGCCCCGGTTATGTTCAT